ATCAATAAAGTTTTATCTTATCTTATCTTATCTTATCTTATCTTATCTTATCTTATCTTATCTTATCTTATCTTATCTTATCTTATCTTATCTTTGACAGATATGAAACGATTATATCCTGACACATTTCAGCCACGTTGCTCAGCACTGCTGAACAAAAACACGTCCTTCCTCGAAGGTTTCTAATTATCCAAAACTTAAGATCAAAGGTCTCGTGTGTGTTTTGTTGTGTTACACTTCAGTGCAGTTCAATTACCTGAAGTTTTATTTTGTCTCTCAGCAGCTCTCCTCCTCCTGTGTGATGTTACCAACAGGTCATCCTTTGACAACACCAGGGTAAGATGGCATATTAATCCTTTTTCTTCACATTTTTAAATTCTAACATGGAGCTATTTCTCCAGTTACTCCTATAATAATATTTTCTGTGGTAGCAAATGCAGAAACACGTTGGAATAATGCGAGAAAAGTCTGCGTATGTGATAATCAAATATGATTTAATTGTGAGCAGCAAGCAGGCAGAACCTTCCTGATTCAGTTCTGTGTGTTCGTTGCTCACAATTAAATCATATTTGATTATCACATACGCTGACTTTTCTCGTATTATTCCAACGTGTTTCTGCATTTGCCACCACAGTTTTTTGGCGTTGTCATTTACGGAGCTTCGAGGAACGGAGAGCGCTCGCTCTCCTGTATCATCATTTTTATGCATTGTGTGAGATTTCTTTACAATAAAGTACTGAATTATGTGGGCAGGAATATGAAATGTAATAAACCGTCTCACCTGCAGATTTAGTAGATCATTATTGTTTAAATTTATTTGTGATTTGAATTTTTATTGGACATAAATTTTGTTTTATTAATTAATTAATTAATTAATTAAGGACAGAAGTTATTAACTATGTGATACCGATATATTACTCAAACTTTCTGCCTTTCTCACTCAGCTCTTCATAGCAGACAGTAGTTTTAGGGGTAAATACTACTGAAATACAGCTGAGGAACACAGGAATAACTTCAGTCTGTCTACACTTCAAATGGTTTCTTTACAAGTTTTAAAGCAATGGTGTAATTTATACATTTTAACATAATAGTGTTAGCTACATTTGTTGAAAGCTGTTTGAAAATTGTCTCGTCCAAGAGCAGATAAGAGCACACCGTGGTTTCTAATAGACCCGTCTCTTTGTGGTCTTTGTGTGTCTGTTGTCTGAACACTATTTCACTGTGATTTTCAGGCCATCTGCTGCCCCATTTCACACACTTATAAAGTAAAGAATTTATTTTATTCAGGAATACAAGGTCTTCCACAACAACAACAACAACAACAACAACAACAACAACATATATATATATACTGTATAATGCACTTCAAAGGCACAAATATATCACAATACTTTATATGCATGCCATTTTTTTGATCAAAGTCTTTTTTTATTATTTTTTAACATAATGCACAAAAAAAAAAAACTAACAAAAACACAAACACTCGAAATCCCTCTCATCCCTCCCCTCCTGTACCGGATCCACTGAAACAACAAAAATCGATCTTGTATTAATACAAGTGATACAATGAACAGGTTTGTGTACAATGAAACAATATTTAACCTTTACACAAA